CAGAGATGTTTTAAAATTAATAACAAAAGAGAACTAAATGGGAAACAATAACCCATTTTGGATCAAAATTTTACTGCATTTAACAATGTAATTTCATTAAAATTTTGATAGTGATGGCTTTTGCATAATGGCAAACAAATGGTTTTAGTTTCTGTATTTTATAGTTCTGCTAGTGCAGTAATTAACAATTCAGATCCTAATACCTAATTATGATCAATAGTCCCTTTCTGGTAAGAAATTGCATAAGTTACTGTCTGCATAGTTTTGGAAAAAAACAAAGATAAGTTTTTTAGATACATTTACATTTAGAAGGGTTTAAAATGTTTTTCAAAATATACTCGAGGGTAGTAGAGGCAAAGTGAGCTCTCAAACCTGAATAAATTGGGTAGAATTTCTTATGTTCTGTCATTTTGTCTTCTTACCCAAATTACCTCACACAGAGTTATGCTTGTGCAAGTCTTCAGTAAACTGTGCAGTCACATCAGTGGTACCAGGAGATGTACACCTACAAGACTGTACTAAAGTGTCTGTCTATATATATTTATATATGTGTGTGTGTGCATGTGCACTTCAGGATTTTTATTGTTAATAGCAGTCTGGAAAGCTTACAGTCAATAGGAACTACTTCCAAAATGAGATGCTTCACCTCAGAGTTGTGTCAGAAAAAATGCCCATAATGCTGAACCTCTTTTATTCCTACAATTGACTGGGACCAGACTTGCAAAATATACTATGTGATAAATTAATTGATAAATTATGCTATTTGATTTCAAATGCTAAAATAAAACTGGTGCATAGCAATTTTTTAAAGATTTGTTATTTCATTTAATATAGTTAGGCACAGTATTTTATATAAAACTAGTGAGTGTTTTGGGATATATTCTGTTACTTGTAGTCCTTGATGGAACACCTCCCTATTTCACTTGGCTGTCAACACTTCTTTGAAACGCAAAAAGGGAATTTTCAAGGTCGCAGATTAGTGAAGTGAGAATTAACAAGGCTCTGTTAGAAAGTCATAATGAGATGAATCCTTTATGCTACCAGAGATTAGTGGAGCTGGGATTTATGAAGCACTTTCCATACTAATCATGCTACTTAGACTCTGTCTCTGGAGACTTTTATTGCAGTGAACGTTTTATATTTACATTTCCATTAAGTTTAAGAGGATTCTCTCTGTGAGAGAAGTAGGGACCTAGACATAAAGGTTGTCACCATTTCTGGCATTGCCTCTTTACTCTGTGATATGCTGATGAGAAAAATTAGCATTCAGTAAATCTCATTTTATCTACATAACATAATGTGGGTTAGTGTGTGTTTTCCTTGGGGTTGGATAATTGTGGATAGCTTATTTGTTACTTGCCTAGATTATTTTTATTTCCTTTGTGTTTGTTTCTGCATCACTTTCAAGGTTGGGATATCTGTCTCATTGACAAGCCATGGCATGGGTGACAGTCTGAGATTGCAGAGAAAGACCTGGGGCTTGAAAACACTCACCCACAAAGCCTTTTTCCTATGGCCTGAATGCATTCTATACCTCTACCTGTCACAGTCAGATTCCAAGTTGGAAAAAAAACTAAGTGATAAACATCTGATAAACCTCAGGGCTTGCAGTGTCACAAATGAAACTATTAGTCTTTATCCTGAGGAGGAAACATCCTAAAAGTGAAACAGATATAGGCACAGGATTTAGAAGAACTTTCCAGACACTGGAAAAAAATACAAAATAATAAGTTTCATGAACAAAGCCCCAGGCAGGAGAGAAAAGCAGGCAGAGAGATAAACATGCCTGCACAAGGACAAATAAAAAGCAGAGGTGAAATCTTGGCGGATGGATGTTCCAGGCTTCATCAGGGCCAGAGTTTCACCCAGCATGAATAGGATAGCTTTTAAAAATCCCCCATGCATTCTGTGTGCATTTTTCAGTGTTTTATTTAGATATGAATGACATGTATTATCAAAGCACAGGGAGGTATTTTTCCCCAGAACTTGTTTGATTTTTGGCTGGCAGGAGCAGTGTTACTCCTGTGTGGCTGACCTGAGCTGCTGCTACGGCCCCCGCATCTGTAGGTCATGCTTTGGGTCTTGGGCATCAGGAGGATTTCAAACACAAAGCTTCCTCATGATTACTGCATACTCTCAGCCAGGAAAAGGAACAAAGTGAGTATTTCGGACTGTTCCTAAAAGAACTCCCTCCCACTGTTCATTTGCTGATATTTAACAAATGCAGTGTTTTCAGAGAGGGCAAGAGGTGCCAGGACAGGCTCTTACAGATTGTGCATTAAGACTGCTTGTACAGTTTTGAGCTGGGGCATTGTAATACATCTTTATGAGGCCCTTTATTAAATATTCTACAGCCCCTCTGCTGCATTCAGTGAATGAATGATTATTATTTCTTTCTGTTATCCCCATTTGATGTGGCCCAATGCCATATTCAGAGTGTATGGTTCAGAGCATGCAATGAATAAAGAACTGTTCATTTCCAAATGGGCATTTTAAAGCATGTTCTCCTTAGCATTGATGCACAAAGATTAAAGCCAGAATTGTCAACAGTAGCTATCCATTTTAAGTTTCTATCTTGAGACGTCGAGGAACTGGTTTTTCAGAGTACTGTTTATAGCCTTCTCTGTGTGGAAAGCACAACCAGGAGACACCTGTTAGAATTCCACTGGTGTGGATCTGGCTTCATGTCTCACATTAGATACTCAGAAAATGTATCTTGTAAAAATAGTGATCACTTGTGAAAAGCTTACTGAAAGTGATAAGGCCAGAGATGTATAAAGTGTTTGGAGCAGAAATAGGAGAAGAATACTGTCTTACAAAGTACCTTCATCTCTGTCCCTTTTCTGCTTATAAGCCACTTCTGCTACCACGTACACCTCTTCCACAGTCTCATCACCAACACCGTGTGCAGTTTATGTCACTCGTCTCTAGGATATGGTAAATCTGGAAGAGTATGAGGAAGAGCACCAAAGATGTGAGCGGTGCTGGAACCCCCAGCTTGAGAGTTTGGGTTGTGTTACCCCCTGCAGTAATGTTGCTTTTTCTTGTTATCTGTTACATGGAAGATGAATTTCCAGACACTTTATTTAGTCAAAAATTCTACAAAGTATTTCTGCTCAGGAAACCATGTTTAGGTTGCCTTAGCTGCAGGTTTATGTAATGGTAAATGCCATATTTCGCAGCTTCTGCAAGCCACTTGTGGGAGGAGGTGGCTTTGGGAGAGGCTGGAAGGTGTTCTGGCTTCCTTTGCACCACTCTTACTGGAATCCACTACTTCTACTACTCCAAGTCTTTCCAGTGCTCCAAGTACTTTGGAAACCATTGGCATTTGCTTGCATTCCCTTTAAGATGTGTGATAAAAGGCCCCACATTCAGCTGGTTTTCAGCTGCTGGTGGTAGATCTTTCTGATCCTG